GTTTTACTCTGTCGTCCAGGCTGGAGTCCGATGGTGGGTTCTCGGCTTACTGCAACCCCTGCCTTCCAGGTTCAAGCGATTCTTGTGCCTCAGCCTCCCAAGTAGCTGGGATTACAAGCACCCACCACCACGTGGGCCCAGCTAATTTGTGTGTGTATGTGTGTGTGTGTGTGTATTTTTAGTAGAAACGAGGTTTCACCATATTGGTCAGACTGGTTGTAAACTCCTGACCTCACATGATCCACCAGTGGTGGGATTACAGGCGTGAGCCACCATGCTGGCTTGTCCCCTCTTATTCTAGAGAAAGAGATTTCCCTTTTTTGCAAAGCCAATTCTGGATCATATGCCTTGATGTCCCTCTAAAACTATGTACCATCTATCATTCCAACTCCTTTCTCCATTGCCTCCTTGCCCATCAGCAAATAAATAATGGATGTCTCTCCTGACTTAAAGAATCCTATTAGGCCGGGTGCGGTGGCTCACCCCTGTAATGCCAGGACTTTGGGAGGCCAAGGTGGGTGGATCACAAGGTCAGGAGATTGAGACCATGCTGGTCAACATGGTGAAACCCCATCTCTACTAAAAATACAAAAACTTACCTGGGCGTGGTGGTGCACGCCTGTAGTCCCAGCTACTCAGGAAGCTGAGGCAGGAGAATTGCTTGAACCCAGGAGGCAGAGATTGCAGTGAGCCGAGATTGTGCCACTGTGCTACAGCCTGGCTGACAGTGCAAGACTTCATCTCAAAAAAAAAGCAAAAAAAAAAAATTTAGAATTGAAAGGTAAGCAGATTCTGAGTGAGAGAGCAAGGAATGTTATACTTTTGAAAAAAAAAAAAAAAAAAAAATCCTATTATTGGCATGCTCCCCTCTAGCTAGTCACCTGTCGTCTTGTAGGTTGTAGGCCTTTTTATTTTTAAATAGAAATGGGGTCTCACTCTGTTGCTCAGGCTGTTCTCATCAAGCAGTTCTTCTACCTTGGCCTCCCAAAGTGCTGCTATAATTATAGTCATAAGCCACCATATTTGGCCTTCTGGGCCTTTTTAAAAGAATTTTGGTACTGTTTTAATTGACATGCTTCTCTCTCAGTCTTCCTCACCCCATGGCAGTTGACCTTCTGATCCATTACGCCACTGGCTACTGTCATTTCCTTGTTTTCTTTCCTTCTGCTTCTGGCTGTTTCATTTACTTTGCTAGCTCATCTACCTGTTGTTTTAACTTTGGTATTTCACTGGGTTCTTGCCCTTGATTCTTGTTATCATACAACATACTCAGAAATGTTTTCCAGCCTGAAGGTTTTTATCACTTAACCCCTAATTTGGCCGGGCAGGGTGACTCATGCCTGTAATCCCAGCACTTTGGGAGGCCAAAGCAGGCAGATAACCTGAGGTCAGGTGAGACCAGCCTGGCCAACATGGTGAAACCCTATGCCTACTAAAAATACAAAAAAATTAGCCAGGCATGGTGGTGGGCACCTGTAGTCCCAGCTACTTGGGAGGCTGAGACACGAGAATCGCTTGAACCCAGGAAGTGGTGGTTGCAGTGAGCCGAGGCTGCAGTGAGCCAAGATTGCACCATTCCACTCCAGCCTGGGCAACAGAGTAAGGCTCTGTCTCAAAAGAAAAAGAAAAACCCTAATTTATATATGAGTCCACCCTCTGTTTGGCTCCAGAATTATCTTCACAGCTATCTACTGGACATCTTCACTGTTCTGAGTACCTTGAACTCAACAGACAAAAAACTGAATTCATAATCTTTCCCAGTATACCCTGCTCCAAACCTATGTGGACTCCTGGGTCCTGTTTCTTTATTCTCATTCGTATTCTAAGCCGGGGATCATCACGGATTCCTCCCTCCTTACTCCTCACCCAATGTGCTGTTTTATTAAAACCTCTGTGTCTCTGCCCAGGATGAACTTCCTTCTTTCCTTTTTTTCTCTTACTTCTTTCTAGGCCAAATTGCCTCTTCCTGTGTGCTGCTTCATTACATATTCCACCGCCCTTTTCTGTAACAGATCTTTTACAGTGCATTGCGTTTGTTTGTTTTCATGTATTTCATCTTTGTACTTTGGCCTTTAATAGGAAGTTTTTTTGCAAAGAAGGACAATTTATCTTCATCACCTAGCACATGGTCTAGCACATGGTAAGTGGGCAAAAAATGCAGAAAGGATAATGATGCATTGCCCCAAAATAGAAATTGATCACAATTTTTATCTTAAGTGAAAATAAATAATTTTTTAAAAAGTGCAAAAACATGGAACAGAATTTAGATCCAAATTATGTTTATCTTTATCAAAGCAGAGATACGATTATAATAAATAGTAAATTTTATTATTTTTGTTATCTCTAGAAAAGTCTTTGGAATATGGTGAAAATATTTCAATTGTGATTTCTCCTTTTAGGAATTTGCTATTAAAATTAACCAGAAGGGCTGGGTACAGTGGCTTACGCCTTTAATCCCAGCTCTTTGGGAGGCCAAGGTGGCTGGATCACCTGAGGTTAGGATTTCAAGACCAGCCTGGCCAACATGATGAAACCCCGCCTCTGCTGAAAACAAAAAAAAAAAATTAGCTGGGCATGGTCCAGGCACCTGTGATCCCAGTTACTCAGGAGGCTGAAACAGGAGAATCGCTTGAACTCAGGAGGCAGAGGTTGCAGTGAGCCAAGATCGTGCCACTGCACTCCAGCCTGGGTGACAGACTGAGAGTCTGTCTCAAAAAAAAAAAAAAAAAAAAAAAAAAAAAAAAAAAAATAGTAACCAAAAAGAAAAAACGAATGTTTAAAATTACTTGCTCTTATGATTTTCTTAATTTGCCAACGTATCTTTTTTCTCTTCTAATAGGTGAAAAACCTTTTGAATGTCCAAATTGTCATGAACGATTTGCTAGAAATAGCACCCTCAAATGTCACCTCACTGCATGCCAAACTGGAGTAGGGGCAAAAAAAGGAAGAAAGAAGCTCTACGAATGCCAGGTGTGTGCGATACATTCAGTTCTTAACAAAGGAGTCTTGTGTTTGCAGTCATTAAAAGCAAAGAGTAACAGAGTCTAAGCAAAGGTACAGGGGCTGATGATCTGGAAAGAAGTGAGGGTAAAGAACATTATTGTCTTGGGGACTAAATTAGTTGTTTTTTAACCCAACCCTAGATGACACTAATGTCAATAAAAATTATGTCCTATAGCCAGGCGCCATGGCTCATGCCTGTCATCCCAGCACTTTGGGAGGCCAAGGCAGGTAGTCAGGAGTACAAGATCAGCCTGGCCAAGATGGTGAAACACCATCTCTACTAAAAATACAAAAAATTAGCGGGGCTTGTTGGCGGGTGCCTATAATCCAAGCTCCTCAGGGGAACGAGGCAGAGAATTGCTTGAACCTGGGAGGCGGAGGTTGCAGTGAGCCGAGATTGCGCCATTGCATTCCCACCTGGGTGACAGAGCGAGACTTCGTCTCACAAAAAATAAAAAAAAGATGTCCTAAATAACAAGTAGTCTGAAACTATAGTTAACCATGGAGCAATTATTAGAATTTGGGAGGGAGATTGGAGGAAGCATTCCAGCTGTAGATTCTTTCCCATAGTTAGTGTATTTTTATATCAAATAATATAATTCTAAATGTTAATCTTACGGGAGAAATTAAAATATTGCTACTTTATGTTTCTAGAATTTATATGACACTTAAACAATAAAGGCAGTATTAAAATGTTTCTCAAAATGTATTTAAGTTACTAGCTGTGCCAGTTAAAAGACCAGATGAACCAAAGAATTATTAAATAGCTTGGACTAGATTCTGTTGCAGGTAACATATTTATAACATTTACAGAATAAATCTTCAACTTTTTCTTCACAGAGAATAAAAGCATTCATATTTCCTTCAGTTTGGATATAAGGATTGTTTCATATGTTTGGTTATTTCAGGTCTGCAACAGTGTGTTTAACAGCTGGGACCAGTTCAAAGATCACTTGGTAATACACACTGGAGATAAACCCAACCATTGTACTTTGTGTGATTTGTGGTTTATGCAAGGAAATGAATTAAGGAGGCATCTCAGTGATGCTCACAATATTTCAGAGCGTCTAGTAACAGAAGAAATTCTTTCAGTAGAAACACATGTGCAAACTGAACCTGTAACATCAATGACTATTATAGAACAAGTTGGGAAGGTGCATGTGCTACCATTGCTTCAGGTCCAGGTGGATTCAGCACAAGTAACTGTGGAACAAGTCCATCCAGATCTGCTCCAGGATAGCCAAGTGCACGATTCACACATGAGTGAGCTTCCAGAGCAGGTCCAAGTGAGTTATCTAGAAGTGGGTCGAATTCAGACTGAAGAAGGTACTGAAGTACATGTAGAGGAGCTGCATGTTGAACGGGTAAATCAGATGCCAGTGGAAGTACAAACTGAACTTCTAGAAGCAGACTTGGACCATGTGACCCCAGAAATCATGAACCAAGAGGAGAGAGAGTCTAGCCAAGCAGATGCTGCTGAGGCTGCCAGGGAAGATCATGAAGATGCTGAGGATTTAGAGACCAAGCCAACAGTGGATTCTGAACCTGAAAAGGAAGAGAATGAGGACAGAACAGCTATGCCAGTTTTAGAATGAAATTACACATGAATATATTTTTTAATTTACTTGTTGGGTTTTTGAACTGATTATGGGCAGTATGACTGTCCTTAAGCTAACGGACAAGTGGACCAAAGTTAAGCTGTTTTCCTGTTGTGCTGAACTGTTTCTGTTGAAACAAATTTGATTCCTCTCACCCCACTTAATGCCACAGAGGAGGGATCTTTTCTGTAACTGAAGGGGAGTTTTGAGAAGTATATTTCTGGAAATTTAAATGGATTATATTCTTACTATATAGTTGGGTACGAATGTATCTATTTTCATTGTGGTAAAAGTTCTTCCTTTTCTCTTTCCCAGGTCATGTTCTTCTCAAACTTTTTCCATATTGTAAAATCAAACTTAAATCATTAGAATACAAATTTATGTATTCTAATGCATGTTAGAAAATTGAATATATAGGAAACACAAGGCTGCATGATGAAAAGTGCATTGTTACTGTGCAGTTAAATTTTGGCTTCTGGCTTTCTTTAGTTTGAACAAACGTTCTTGTCTACCCTAGTGGTCACAGATGCCATCACTGCAACAGAAAGAGTGGTGGTGGTGGCAAAATTTCTAGAATGTTAAAAAAAAAAAAACCACACCCATGTGCCTTCTCAAAACCAACTAAATTTCTACAAAGCATCTCTGGTTCTTTCAAAGTTTGTGTTGCAAGGAGCAATGTAGATGATGCCATAATACTTTATATTTTTGCTTGTAAGAATAACCACCAGTTCTTTTTCACTTAAGTTGAGAAATTTTATTTAATGGCCACTGAAGGCCCATTTTCAATTGGGAAAATTTATTTACATCTGTGGTAAACTTTATTTTGATGAAAAGTTGCACTAGTATTTTACCACCAGATGAAAAAAAGATGTGCATCATTTAAAAATTAATGTATTTAAAATAAAGTACAGAGAAAGACATGTATATAATTATCAGGCTTTGTTTTGAATGGAATCTTTTCCCCCGATCCTTAATGTAAAGATCTTGTGCTATAACTTTTAAAGCCATACAAATAAGAGTGCTAAACTGTGGACTTAAAAAGTAGGTGTGTAAATATTTTTAATCAGTATTACTTGGAAAATAAAATAAACATAAACCAATATGCTATTTTCTTTACCTGTTAAATATTGGGAGTTCTTTACATTTTTTAAGTAAACTTTAAAATTATGTGTTCGTGACTCTTTTTTAAAAAAATTACCAGTGTGAGTTTGTATCTGGCCAGAGATAGTTCCTCGTGTGTCTTTACCTATATTAACATGTTAGACTGATTCATGAATTGTCATAAATTTTCAGTCACACCTCCAACCCCCCAAAATCAGCTCAAAAGCAAGGAAGAAGTTAATATTCTTTGTATTAATAGTTCTTACATGGTAGGCACAATAGCAGGAATTCTCCACTTAATAGTGTGTCACATGTAAAAGAGCAATTCGATTAGCCCGCTTTGGTAATCCTGATGTTCAATGGTATCACATTTACAAAAATATGCTGTAGAGAATGGCTTCCCACTGTTGGAGAAATCAGATTTAGATATAAATCTGGAGATAAAACCAATCATTGTATTAAGGAGGCTGTGTTTTTAGATCAAAGTAAGGGTATGAACACTTCCAAGTCTGTACTGTTTGGTAGTTGGGTATCTGTATCTACTGTAAAACTTACAGTATATTTTTTATTTGAAGTTGGGAAATACCAATAATAGAATTAAATTATATCCCAGTGAATTTTCAGTTTGCCTTAGGATTCCAATGTTCCTGAGTTAAGAAAAAAAATCCTAACAGACAGTGGTCTCAAATAGGTAAATTGCTAGTTAGTATCTAGTGAAATTTGAATGCTGAAAATAGTGCATACTGTGCCCTTAAGCCAAGGTATGAAACAAGGATTATTACTATTATTACTATTTTTTGAGACAGAGTCTCACTCTGTTGCCCAGGATGGAGTGCAATGGTGTGATCTCCGCTCGCCGCAACCTCCGTCTCCTGTGTTCAGGCGATTCTTCTGTCTCAGTCTCCTGAGTAGCTGAGACTACAGGTGCATGCCACCATGCCCGGCTAATTTTTTTGTATTTTTGGTAGAGATGGGGTTTCACCATGTTGGCCATGCTGGCCTTGAACTCCTGACCTCATGATCCACCCGCCTCGACCTCCAAAGTGCTGGGATTACAGGCATGAGCCACTGTGCACGGCTGAAACAAGGATTATTTTAAAACAATCTGAAGAGTTCTGACCACAAGGTAGAGATCAAGGGCAAAGGCGGCACATCAAAGTGTTAATTTCAGTTTTCACATTTCACATTTCAGTTTTCACATTCGGCAAGACCTTTCAAGACATTTGGGGTGCAGATATAGTTCATTTTTCTTTTCCCAAAGGTATAGAAGCTTATCACTGCTCAGAATGCCAGTAAATTTGATTGCAAACGTCGATGAAAATATCCACGGGTGATAAACTGTATGTTGAATAACGCTTTGTAGTTGCAAAGCACTTAACGCAGAACATAAAAACAGCTATTAACAACTGATGTATATCTGCTTCAAGTACTGAAGCAAATAAACTGGTTATGTAGTCCTCCAGTGTTCTCTATATCTACTGGAGTTTTAAGATAAGTCTACAGCTACCAAGTTGGACAGTAGAGTGTGCAACAATGATCACATAGAAATCCAAAGTGCACTGAATGTTGAGAGGCTCTTTATCTCCTCCAGTTTCAACAGCAATTCTCAGACATCAATTGGGTGTCCAACAATTCTGACACTACCCAGATTTAGAGCAAGTTAAGTGCTCAGTATCACAAAATTGCCCCCACTGCAGACACCAGCCACAAATGTGATCTACAGGCTACCTGCGCCTCTGCCCAGCCAACCGTAAATGTAGGGTTCTTACAGCCTTTCCATACCCCCGAGTTCAATAATGCATTGAAACAACTCAGAACTCAGGAGAGCACTCTACTTACGAATATGGTGTTTATAAAGTGTGCAAATCAGGAACAGTTAAATGGAAGAGATGCACCAAGGGTAAGGTGGGGGGAGGGGGTTGTGGAGGAGAACAGCAGAGGTTTCTATGCGCTCTCTTGGCATTCCATTTTTCCCAGCATGTTGATGTGTTCAAATCGGAAGCTCCCTTACTGAGATTTCATAACCTAGACTGATTATTGGCAACCGGACTCAATCTCCAGCCCTTTCTCTCCCTGGGGGTCTCAAGTGGGGCCAGTAGTTGTAGCCCTTTAATACAGTTGGTTCTGGTAACCCACACCCATCTTGAAGCTATCTAGGGGCACCCTGCCAGTAGTCACCTCATTAGCCTAAACTGAGGTAAGGTCAAAAGGGGCTTGGATGAATAAAAAAAGACGTTCAGGAAATTCCAAGGATTTTTGGAACTGTGTGCAAGGAACCAGGGAGAAAAACCCAAATCCATATTATACGCACACATATATATATATATGTTGTTTTTGTTTTTGAGACAGGGCCTCATTCTGTCTCCCAGGCTGGAGTGCAGTAGCGTAATATCGGCTCACTGCAACCTCTACCTCCCAGGTTCAAGTGATTCTCCTGCCTCAGCCTCCCCAGTAGCTGGGATTACAGGTGTGTGCCACCACACCCGGCTAATTTTTTGTATTTTTAGTAGAGACAAGGTTTCACCATGTTGACCAGGCTGGTCTTGAACTCTTGATCTCAAGTGATCCACCCGCCTCGGCCTCCCAAAGTGCTGGAATTTCAGGCATGAGCCACTGCGCCTGGCCTATTTTTTTTTTATACCACACCTACTGTCTGAGATTCAAAGGAAAACTAAACTGAATACATTAGCAATACATTTAAAAGCTAGTACTGTAATCTTTTGGATATGTACAAAACCAGAAGACTCTTGTAGTCTTACCAGTTTAAAAAGGCTACCATCCTCAGATAATACTGAATGTAGGAACATTTTCATAGGAATTTGAATGCTTCTGCTCCCACTAGTTTGAACTTGGAATTAAAGATTTCATGATTAGGAGGGTCCATGAAAGCTCTCTAGACTATCCATTTCATAGTTTGAATAAGCCAATAGGCTTATTAAGCCAGAGTGAGGCCTAAATGTAGATAATCTTTACCAATCAAATGGATTTTAATGCACGTTTTCAATTTAACATGGGTTGATGCTTTTAAACAAGTGATCCTATGATCATTAAACTATTCACGCAAAAATAGTGTTTTATAACTCTTGCATGCAAAATTACAAACAAATGCCTGACCTAGAAAGTTTAGCCTGATTTTGCTGGAGAAAACTTAATAGCTTTGAATTCATTAGATTAACTCTGACCTTTGTGTTAATTACATCAGGAGAGGGAGGTCTAGGCTGTTTTTCTTGTGTAATGTGCTGAACTGTGCTATACCTCTTACAGGATTTGTCATAAAGGATTCAAATAAGAAGTAGGAATCAAAACAAACCCTCATCACCCCACCAGTTAATAAAATCCTTCGTAGTTAACGCCTAGACATTTATTGCTTTAAAACCCATAAATACAAAGGCTTTCATAATACTCCAAACTTCTTAAAACTCTACTCCCTGCCCTACAAATGTAATTTCATTAATTCTATTGACATGGTAAAGAAAGCAGCATGTGAATTCAATCTTTTTCTCTTTACCTTTCCTGCAACCCATTATGTCCCTATAAATACCACTTTTTTTTTTTTTTTTTTTTTTTTTTTTTTGAGACAGGGTCTTGCTCTGTCAACCCAGACTAGAGTGGAATGGTACAATCTTGGCCGGCTTATTGCAAACTTCCCCTTCCAGGCTTAAGCAGTCCTCCCACTTTAGGCTCCTGAGTAGCTATGACTATAGGGGTGTGCTACCATGCCCAGCTAATTTTTTACATTTTTTGTAGAAATAGTCTTTTTATGTTGCCCAGGCTGATTTTAGTCTCCTGGGCTCAAGCGATCTGCCTGCTTCGGCCTCCCAAAGTGCTGGGATTACAGGCGGGAGCCCCGTGCCCAGCCAAATATGACTCTTAACTATTCAACTGAAGCAATATCCTCACCTTTATATTTGTACCAAAATGCTGTCTGGGAAAGAAAAAATTTATTGTTAACAATAGCTATCCTTTATGATTTTGAATATATTTAGTTATCTCAATGACTTTATGAAGTTATTATTAGCTATCATTTTATAAACAGAGGAAAGGAAGAGGAGAAGCTGAGAAATAGCTTGTTGGAAGTGGAGCCAGTATTTGAACTGAGCAAGCCTGACTTCACAGACTACACTCTTGGTCACTAAAATAACTCTCCCTGAGATTTCTTTGTGGTTGACCTCATTGGATTGCACAAAGCATAGGATAATAAGCTACCTTCTTTTCTGAAATACATACCAGCTCTTGCTGGAGTTAGAAGTGGAGGGGACAAGAGATCAGAAAATCCAGCAAGATACATGCAGCAAATTGCCTTTTAGTATCTTCTTGCTGAGACGACATCATCTAGGAAATGGTTCTCTAACTTTATCAAACATCAGAATCTTGTTGAAACATACATTGTTGGACCCCACACCTGTTATTGGTAGTGAGTTTCCAGGTTCTAGGCATCTTGAACAAATAATTGGACAAAATGTACAAACAAAGCAAGGAAAGAATGAACCAACAAAAGCAGAGATTTCTTGAAAATGAAAGTATGTCCCACAGTGTGGAGGCAGACCCAAACATAGGGGCTCAAGGGATCTGATACAGAATTTTTGGGGAGTTTAAATACCCTCTAGAGGATTTCATTGGTTACTTGATGTACGGCCTGTTTAAATGAAGCCGATGAAGTAGTTACAAAGTAATTTATTCAGCTTATGCTCTATGGGGAGGATATTTCCTGTCATAGCTGACCTGTGAATTAGCCTTACGTTCCCTGCCTCTAGACCTTATTTTCCTGCCTCATCTCCCCACAGAGAGAATATAATACACATAAATCTTTACGGGAGGTGGAGGGACCGATGGTCTTTTTTCTGTCACTATTTCATGCTGGCTTGGGGTGTGGTCCCTAGCTATTGGGGATAACAGAACTCTTACCTGGCTCTGTTTAGTGGAAGCAGGTCAGCTCCTTGATGGACAGGTTTCTTCACCTGGAACTGGCTGGAACCTTTGTTTCATGATCATTTGAAGCTTCATAG